AGCAGGATGGTATGGATAACAGAAAAGAGAATAAGATGTTGAGAATGCGGTACAGAAACTATATATAACTAGTGTTAATGGTCTTTGCAATATTAGGAATACAAAAAAACATCAACAACATGTCTACAGAATTTTTGGAGAATCATGGCTGAGATCCCCTATTTGCCGCTGACAACTAAAGGATTAATCTGGCTTTTATATAGTGGGATAATTATTACTGGTTTTTCTGCATTCCTATACATACTCGGCTTTTCTTAGAATCATCAAGTAAACCTCTCGTGTCTCTAAATTTTCCTTTCCTTTAACAAAGTGTACCTTAGCTGCTGTAAACATATTAAACATTATTCGCAGTAATTTGGTATAATTTAGTGACAACGTTCACTGATGCCGCCAAGCATGTGTTGGGACGCGTAGCAGTGAATAACTAATTGAGCTGTTGAAGACTGGAAAATTTGATTAGATTTAATCGCGTCTCACTATTGCCCAGATAATAAAATCAAAAAAAATTTGTATACATGAGTTTCTGTTTTGATATTTGCACAACTAATATAAAATTCATCAGGTCCCTGTGTTGTCTTAATGATTTCCTCGCAGTATATATTTATAAGTTTGGTTCCCTTTGTTTTATGTTATTGCCTAGAGTTATGACCAAATCAGCTTTATTAGAAATACTCATTATAGTTATAGCCTGCCATTTTTGTAAAGGGAATGATTTATTATGTGGTTTCGTTTGTCTGAAGTCCTTTGTTGACACTGAGTTACTTATTCGACCATATAGGTTTCCTAATGACAGTGCTAGAATACTGGCAGTGAAGAGATCGAGTATCTTCCCGTATGCCACTTTCATGTTAGAATATTGACGAATAATCCGTTCAGTCCGTCGAGTTAAAGGTATGCTTTTCTTATGTGTCTCTGTCGGTGTGCAATCCAAAAGCATTAGACGCACTGATGTTAGTTTAATGGTAAGGCAAATATCTGTTTGGTTTATGACCTTTACTGTCGTTCGTACTCTCTGTAGTCTGGATATACGCTGTTTTGCACGATCTAGAACTTTCTTTAGTTCGCATTGAAATCTGACTGTGAGAAATATAGAAATGATATGTTCAATATGGTCCTGTCCAAATTCTCAAAGTGAATTGTTAACAGAAATCTAAGATAACCGATTCATACCTGTTGCCTCCCGTACTTTGTTTTACAAAGGAGAAGAGTGGTAAAAGAGTAATTTAGTGTTCAGTTTTCAAGAGAATCATGGCTGCACAATGTAGGATTATATAAGACTCACATGTGTTGTCCTCGAATGTGTCAATCCAAGTGTACATATCATATTAATAAGTTATGGGGCGCCGAAGCGGGGAGTAGTAACAAGGACAATCCTCCTAAATCTGGTAGGTGCTTATTAGTCCCTTCTTAGTCTTTAAAAGTTAGCTTGAAAGCATCAAGACAGTTGAAATATCAGGTACCAATACATGATTATCCCGTATTAATCACTGCGCGCCCTGTACTGTTAATATAAAATGATTATATAGCGACTGACTATTGATATTGACCACCGTCAGTTGATCATAGACTATGAAGTAACTGAGAAGAATGTTGTCAATTGATGTATTTCAAATCATTAAACATCTCCTTTTAGGACTTCGCAACGATTGCGAAAGGCTTTAGTTGTTTAAGGATATTGTTGTTTTCCAGCTATTTTATTCCCTAATGTTTTTTAATCTTTATAGAACAGGTGAAATCCTTCTAGGATAAGACCCCTCTTGATGAAAAGTGTCCGTTTAGCGAGGTAATCACTGGAGGAGCATAGGGTAGTTTGCATTTGCAGCAGGTTAACATAGCGCCTGAATTATTAACGACACTATCTTACGAGAAAAATGTACGATGACATGCTTTTGAAAAAGAAATATAAAATGCAGTAACTTTTAGAGAGATTTTGCACTTTCTATCCTCTCTACTTCTTGGCTTTTTTTCTTCTACTTTAAATTAAAAATCCTCTTACTCTCCTTGGCTTTTCATATTTGGTAATATCTTCTCTTCCTTCCCTCATTCTCTTAATTTGTATCTTCTCTCTGTCCCTACTTCGGTCTATCTTTTCTTTCTAGTGTATGTGTACTGTTATGTGATTAATTAATTTTCCCCTCTTTCTACTCCTCTCTCTATACCTTGTTATGTCCAGTTCTTTTTCTTTGTCTGATATGGGCTTCTGGAATCTGATGATAAGCAATCGATCTATTCTCGAGTCATGCCAATATCATTGGCCGCTCTACTGGAAAGAAGATCTTCATGAGAACAGCCAGCGAAAGCGACATCATAGCCATATTTTGGTTATGTAACGTGCTGCACTTGCAACTTAGGGCTGGATGGTTTCTTTTCTTCCTTTCCTTTTATTAGGGTGTTCACAGGTCAGTTGGCTCAGGTTTGCAGTCTTAACCAGCACTCGAACCGACCCCTTCGGTTTGGCACTAATATCAACCTCTGTTGACCGCCGTTTTCCTCGAACTCGATCGCACTTTCGTTTGGTTTTGTCAGTCGGCTTTGCCGGTTTCATAGAAAGAATGCAAGATTCAGCTATCAATCATCAGATCTAAGAAAGTCACATCCAGACCTGTAGAGAGAAATCTGAAAGCGTGGAGAGTTAGTAGAGTGAATAAAGGAACTCACTGCCACCATCGCCATTGCAAGTCCATCGCCGCAACTATGAGTATGCTACCGTCACACGCATCGTCGTTGCGAGCTCAGAGGAGGTGAGCTTGTAGGGAGAGCTACTTTCACCATCTTTGATGTTGCAATATAGGGGTTGGTTGAGTTTGAGAACTCTGCTACGTTGAGAGAGAGAGAGAGAAGGAGGGTTGGGTTTCCCAGGCTATCTTTTGGGTTTCCAAGTCTGAGAAGTTGAAGGTATTTTAAAATGGTTTTTGGTTCAAGCTTCCTACCCATGACCGACCGTGAACTTGTTAAAACAATAGATTTACACCCACAACCGAACCACAGCACATGCAAAACTGTCCGTAGCTCGTCGGGTGGGTTCGGATTGGACGGTTTGCCGGGTCTCCAAGTTAGATGAACGGCCCTACTTTTTTATCATTGCTTTTTTTCTAGGCAATGCTTATACGATTTTTCTTTTTCTTTTTTTCTTCCTTTTTTTTTTATTGTTGTTGGTATGCATGTATGTCAGGTTAAAGAAGAACAAGTGCAACTTCAAATGCAATGGTAAAACCTTAGGTAATTGATATATTTGCATCAGGAGTAAAACAATTGTTTAAGTAGATCATATAATACCATGTGAAATGGTAGTAGATAGGTATTTGTCAATCATTTTGATAATGAGAAATTTTGAAGACTTTTTTGATGTGATTTGTGTTAGTGGAATGATTATTTGGTACTAGTAGTGATATCAAGAAATTTATCGAAGTGATAAATGTTGGGGATATTTTGGCTTTTGTTTGTGAGTTTTGATTTATTTTTAGTTTATTTGTGTTATGTGGGAAGTGTAAGTAGTTGAATTGTTTGTTTGTTTTTTTTAAATTCTCAGTGATAAATGTACTAAGTTATTGTATGAACAGTACAAAACTAAGTTATTTGTAGCCACTGCAAGTACCAGTTAATGCATTATTTACCAAGCTGATATATATACTTTAATTCTCGTTGTTTTTATGACTACAAGTTGCATCATGCAATTTTGGATTTTTATTTTTATATTTTTTTTAACCTGTTTTCATTATTCATATTGATCATCAAGCCATCCAAATTTTCCCTTGTATGCAGAATGGCAGTGCTGCTCCTAAGTCACGCATTCCTCAAATGGTTGCTCAAACACTGGGTTTTGGCCAAAACCTACTGCTGCTGGTGATAGTAATTGCACCCCCCAACCAAAAAAAAAAATTGAGTAAATTCTTGAGTTTTTATTTATTTATTTATGGGTACCTAGAATTATGATTCAACAGTAATAATAATATACATTCACAAAAAGATCGTACACAAGCTGTATTGAGATTTATCATTTTTAAATACTGTGCTCATTTTTGACCTCCTAATTACAATGTCATTGACACTGAGCTCTTATGGCATCTAATTGTTAACAGGGAAGTTACTTCCAAAATGATTAAGATCAAGCAGAAATGATTAATGTTCTTATTTTGGTTTGCTAAATTAACTTTTTAGTTTATTCATATGCATCAGCGGTTTCTGAATTAATTTGTGTTTTCATTTTTCAGGTCATAAATTTTTTGGAGAGATGCAAAATATGGTCCAAGAATTAAAGAACTTAGTTTTTTAAGTTTTTTCATTTTTTAATATATGTAAGCACAGATAATTTTTTTTATTTAATTCCTTTGTATATAGTTTTGAATATTTAATTTCCATTTATGAAATATATGACGTTATTTTATTCAATATGTGGTTATGATTCAAAATATAGTATATAGTGTGTATTACATTATTCAAATGTGCATACAAAAATAATATTGATTATTTTTCAAATATGTAGCACCTTTTTTTATCATAGATTTTATTAGTTATTAATCATACTTAAAAGATGTGATGTAAATGTTATTAATCACACTTAAAAGATGTGATCTAAATGTTATTAATCACACTTAAAAAGTGTGATTAAAAATGATCCTTTTTAATCACACTTCCAAAGATCACACTTAAAAGGTGTGATCAAAATATTTTTAATCACTTAAAAGGTGTGATCTAAATGTTTTTAATCACACTTAAAAGGTGTGATCTAAAGTTTTTAATCACACTTAAAAGGTGTGAACTAAAGTTTTTAATCACACTTAAAAGGTGTGATCTAAATATTTTTAACCACACTTAAAAGGTGTGATCTAAATATTTTTAATCACACTTAAAAGGTGTGATCTAAATATTTTTAACCACACTTAAAATGTGTGATCTAAATATTATTAATCACACTTAAAAGATGTGATGAAAGCATTTTTTAATGACACTTAAACAGTATGATTAAAAATGACCATTTTTAATCACACTCCTAATGACCACACTTTAATAAAACAAGGTGTAATTAAAAAACATACATCACACCAAAAAAGTGTGATCTTTATCTATGCCACCCATGTTTGAACTCCCGATTCTCGAATTTGGGGACTTCATCTACATATTCCGTGTAGGCGGCGCTTTTTCCTACCTCAAATGCCACAGAAGCCTCAAAATCGGCTTTTTCCTTGGCCGCCTTAAGCTCCTCTAACTGAACCTTCACCTCGGCAAGCGCCTCCTTGGCTAACTTGAGCGATTCTTCGCTTGCATTTGCCCTACTCTCTGCGTCAAAGCGGAGCTGTTCAGCCGAGCGAGCCCTCTCCTCCTCTGCTTCAGCTCACGCACTCTCCACTGCGGCTCTCATCACTTTGAACTCAGCCCTAATCTTTTGACCGTCTGCCTCCGTTTTCAAATGATCAATCCTGCCAAGGCATCATGCAGGCGGCGGCCTAGGTCCGCGATCCTGCCAACCGTCCACAAAACAAGTTAGGATCGTCAGACACCTTAATGAAAACAAATTCAAGAGAATTTGGGATGGTCACTTACCAGGAGTGCCGACTGCGCAGATAGGGCTACGGCCATAACATCCGGCACGACGCGAAAGGCTGCGGTGTCAGCCGGCAAGGAAATTGAAGCTGCCAG